TAGCTCATCAGTCATGTCGACGGTAAAGCAGAAGTAGTTCAGAAATCAATAAATAAGGCTGTAATTTATTATATATTTAATATATATTACTGCAAGATCTCAAACGCTGCAGATGCCAACAAACCAGAGTGACAAAATATTCCATTAATAAAAATAAAATTCTTTGCTGAAATCAGCAGCACTTGCATTACTCGATATCTGAATTTACTGAACAAAACAATCCATTATAACAGAAATAGTACGAGCTGATAAACAAACTAATCACTTGGCTGATCTATCCAGATGATTCAATATCATTCTGAGGTAATCAGCATTAAATATTAGCCATCAGCTGCTTGTTTTTCTGAGAATAAGTATCAGTATCAACGCCTTCATATATAATTATACAAAATTGATACTATGAACCGTGGTGTACGGTTGTGCAATTTCTGAGTAAAAACCTAAGTAAGACATCTCTCATTCTGCCAGACACAGATATTTGACTTGAAACTAAATAACTAGAATTACCATCTGTTATAAGGAAATATCAAGGAAAAATTAAGCTAAAGTGTGTGTGTGTGTGTGTGTGTGTGTGTGTGTGTGTGTGTGTGTGTGTGTGTGTGTGTGTGTGTGTGTGTGTGTGTGTGTGTGTGTGTGTGTGTGTGTGTGTAGGGGGGGTATTTCTCCAGGTATGCATAATGCAAATGACATGCATGTCAAATAACAAAACAAACTGACAGTGACAGAACAATGGAATAGCCAGAGAGTAGTAACCCTTGCTTTAGTAACTGTTGGAGTCCCTGCTGCCCAGACCCACGACAGGAAAGTGTTCTGTTTGATATTTCTCTGAAAAATGATCTGTAGGAGATAACGGAATTCACTGGACAAATGTGTCCAGATAACTTGAGGAAAAACTCAAAATATGCTAGTTTTATTCACCTGTGAGTGAGGGGTAAAATTATATACAGCAAGCGTTTTATTCGTGGATGGAAATGACAGAAAACGTGGGTTTAGAGGTGTCGAGCACATGAATAGGTGGAGAAGGATGAGAGACAAATTTGTACGTGGCAAAAAGTCGCTGAAATGCAAAAAAAATAACAAAAACCACAATATAAACACAAAAGTAAATGCACTATCGCAGACCGGATACATGACAGGATACCCCAGAACAGTGCTACGCCCTCTGTTGTCCTGGCAGGGAATTGCTTTGCAACACTCCTTAGGAGACGGAGCCTGTCATTTTGGGAACTATTCTCTGACATGCGTGTGTGCCTCTCTCTCGTGGACCTGATGGAGAAGTATAAATTAGGCTTAAGGTCTTACTCCAACACAAAAATACAGTGTTCTTGCAATGATTTAGGTGTGTACTGCCCCCTTTTGCCAGGTGAAATACACATCGTCACCTTAAAGAAAAAGTGGGAAAAGGTCTGCCGTCACCCAGTATGATTCTTAAAGAATGAGCTAAACCTTCACAGCCCTTTAAAGGTCTTTCTGGTTTGTTCAATTCAATTCATAAATACTTTTTTAATCCCAGAGGGAAATTAAGAGTTTCAGTACACACAATTCTGAGATCAGACATACATGCATACATAGACACATGACAAGAACTGGTGACTGTGGTCATTCGCAACCCGAGTCGCGCTACCGTAATAGATCAAGAGGGTTTATGTGAGGATAAAGTCGGGGAAGGGGGAAAAAAGGCACGTCAGAGTTACCCTCAACAGAGGGGGTAGCTTTGCTATGCAAAAAAAAAAAAAACTACTCAGACAGATATGCACACAGACTTCTGACATTACACTAAATAAATGTCCACTAGGTGGGGAGGTAGGGTTGGGACTCTCCTCACTTCAGTGCGTGCAGCCGCATGGAGCAGCGCTCATCACCTCCATTTGGACAGGGGAGGGAGATAATGGGTTAGAGAGCACATTGACTCCTAGATATGGTTCCACCGCATTCACCGGTCACAGTCCCGCCCAGGCTGGGATAGGGAGAGAGTTTCCATAGCGACGGCAGCATTCCACATTTCTTCTGAGGGGAGTTTACACTTCAGCCTCACAGGCTCAAGGGCACCAGATTCAGATAAGAATTGTTTTGGGGACAGACAGAGATAATTTCCTCTCTGTCTTAGTATTATGTTGGTCTTCAACCCCTCTAGATCCAATAATGGCATAATCTATCCCAATCTGTGCTGATCCGTCAACTCGCTCCTTGATGGAATCCACCTTTTGTGCCAGAGCCTGAATCTCAGCCAAAGTTTCAAGCTTACGACTCATCTCGACAATCATATGAGTTTGTGCGTTCACAGCACGATGCATTCCATCCCTGAGCGCCGGGATTGAGCCAATATTCCTCGAAAGCTCGTTAATTTTACGGTTAGCCAGTTAAACGCTCAGGCCAAACAGCAGGAATCCCAACACCAAAACGACAAATATCCAAACATCTTCCGAATCCTCTACAGACAGTTGAGAGAGGCATAACAGGTTCCACTGTTTCCAGGAGTCCATGATATACCCAGCTGGCTCTGTCCCAGAGGGGCATCCGGGAGCCCCTTCTCCCGTTCTCATCGTTGAAAAAATTTTGTCAATCGCATTGAGAGACCAACTGACCAGATCCATTTTTAATAATTTCCGGTTTCCAGAAAATATGTAGAAAGCGTCGTGCACACAAAGACAGGACAAAGAGCCTTGGGGATAAGGAGGGAGGGAGAGGAGAAAAAAAGCATCTACTCTCCAAGAGCCAGAAGAAGAAGATGACTTAAAATCAAAGAAAGCACGAGATAATCTCAATGTGAATGTCAACAAAAACAGAAGTCATACTTTCTCAGCATTAGCTTCTTTCCTTCTATTAACAGGACTTGGGCTATTTCCCTTCTTTTTAAGAAAATAATGCTTGCCTTTTTTCAACCAGTTTATTACTGTAGCTTTTATTGGAGAGTCAGTCTGTCTTTGGTTTAACTGATGGAAATTTAAATAAATAAAATCAAACACACAGCAGCTTGACTCCTGACAGACACACACAGGAGAGCCCACTGGTTAATTTTAGAAAAGAACTAAGATTGTGCTGCTGGTTTTCAGTCACTGAACTGGTAAGCACTCTCTTACCTCATTGATCTGTAAACTTTGCCCCCTCCTAAAGGATCCTCCAGGGGAGGGAAGGTTGTACGAGAGGAACGCTTTTATGAGCTGATGATGTTTTCACTTTAGCTAAATCTGAACTTAGGAAAAACCTGCTGACTAACACACACTGATATAACAAGTCAAATGCAACAATAAGACAAGTGTCCAACCACCAGTATGGCTGTTCTAAACCCCAAAGGATCACATAATGCAAACATGTTCAATCATCATCAGATCAATAATTTGCGCATCATTTGTTGACTAGATTTACCCTAAAATTTATTCAGCTCATAGTTGTTCATTTTAATTAGTTGCAAAAAAATCAGATTTTGACTTATTGTACAAAACAAACCTGATTGCCAAAATAACATTTACATTTAATGAGAAGTGTTTTTCAAGGCAACACAACATTCCCCCAAACTTCTTTTAATTTACAAAGACTTGCTCTAATTACTATACATATAATTTTAATTTAATTAAAGACAGTGGGCTCTGATGCCATTTGTAATTAACAGAGACTTGGTCATTATTTCCAGGAATATAGTAAAAATCAGAATTATGGTGGTTTTTAGTATAAGTGTTATGGTAGTGTGTGTGTGTGTGTGTGTGTGTGTGTGTGTGTGTGTGTGTGTGTGTGTGTGTGTGTGTGTGTGTGTGTGTGTGTGTGTGTGTGTTGGGGGGGGGGTACACAGTCTTGCAATGCAACCTAGTTAGCAGCTGAGTTTGTTAACAATATTGCAAAATGAAAAGGTTTCTCACATCCTTAGCTTGTTCTTTCTACACCCCCTCACCTTGACACCATTTTCCTGCCCATTCTCTACTCACTCTGCCTTTCACTGCATCTATTATTTCATGCTTTTATTGAAATCAGCATTAATAACACCTGCAATTAATGATTTGATTAAAAAGGACCTGTTTCCTGCACCACACAAACAGACAAATGCTTAACAAAGTTAAACACGCACTTAACATGTGGAAGTATTTAAAAAAAACACATATAAGTGTGTTTTACAAATCAAGCAAACCACTTTAAAGATTAGATTGGTTTCAGAACAACAATCTGGCAGCAGGACACTTTGATGAGAATAAATCTACCAGCATTAAACGCACAATGTCAGTCACTTCTGCCCGTCTGCTTAAACTGATGTTAAACATGTGAAAATGACCGTCTGGAAGAGAATGGTGTTGTATTGACAGAGATGGAGGCAAAGCAGCAGGCATTCAGCCACTCTGTTCTGCTTCACTGCAATTTGGGAGGGAGGCCAACACGGACACGGACACACACACAGATGTGAAAACACACACACACAGGCATGAACACAGGCAAGCACACACTTGCGCAAATGAACGCTCAGTCACACTCTCGCTTAGCACGCACGCGCGCGCGCACACACACACACACACACACACACACACACACACACACACACAGTGCAGCAGGTGAGGTGCCACATCACAGCGCTGCCATTTTTCAGTGTCTTGCTCAGGGAGAAGCGCTCTGACATTTTATGAAGCACTCTGCAGAAATCAGCAGCTTGTAATGGCGGCTGGACTGTCACTCCTTTCCACTCCTCTATTTTTCCTCGCACAGCTTTTAAGATTTTATCTCCCTTCATTAACATAATCTAATCAATTAAAAAGGGCTTTTAATTACAAAGTCAAACCTCACCACCTTACTCTATTTAAGCCTTTTATCAAAAATATAAACCTGAAGTACAACAGCAACAAAATGACTAAAATGTTGCTTCCTGTCACAAAGAGGAGAAAGTCTGACATTCATCACTGGAAACTACAAATGTTGAGACAAGAATCTCTTTAAACAATAGACCAGAACACCACACTGACATAATATAATAAAGGTCCAAAAACATTGCATTTGAATGTATGGAGCTGTTGTTTACTCACATTTTATTTGACCCTTGGAATCATGACTGCTGATATTACCAAACGTGTTCGGAGGAAAGGCCAAATGATTAGAAATCCAGCTGTTAAATACGCCGTCCGCATAAACCAGAGATCTATAACTATGATTAACTCTCTGCTATATTGTTGTGCATGACAAGCTCTCTGCTGAGCAATGATTAACAGCTAGTGGCTCTGCAAACCGCTGCTAGCACATTAACACACTGTTTACATTAGCCAGAGCTGCAATGAAGCCATTACTGCTCTAGCTAACACTGGTCTTCTGACGCTGCAGCGCCGACAGCTTGTGGTCCAACAGTTTACAATGACGACAAACCTTGGCAACCGTGTTTCAAAGTTTACCTCTGAAGTTTCACTTAGGGCCAGTGCATTTTAAAGTAACTCAGAATAGTATGCCCTCAGAACAATAACGTGACTCAACTTGAAATATGTGGGAAGTGTCAAGGCCAAATCTCCCAGAGTAGGCTACGCTATAAACCTTAAACTAAGCCGATTTCATTAATGTGACATTAGCAATTGTAATGAGAAGGGGGGGGAGGGGAGACCCCTTGGGATATCTTTGTGCTGATACACAACCACACATACACATGTATACACACACTCGCAAACACTGACAAACACGAACACACACACATCCGTTGACATTAGGCACTAATTTACATTCAGATTACACAAGAATCATAAAATGCAGTCAATACGCAGAGAGGAGGAAAATGTTGGATTTGCATAGGTCCTTAGAATGAAATATCACAGCTATGTCACTGCAAAGCGACTGTGACAGTTCAGTGTTTACTAAAAGAAATAAACAAACAAACAATTCCAGAAAAATAAAACCTGGCATTCGCTCCACTTTCTCCATCTGCAACAAGAAAATGAATAAAAGCAGCTTTGAGAGAAAATTATCACCTCTTTATCTAAAACCTGCCAATAGAATTTTTTTTTCTTCAACAAAGTATATAACACATTATACATCAGGCTGGCTTGTTCTGTACAAACTTCACAAAGGTCATGTCAAGCCTCTACATGTGGGTCTATTGAGTGAACCATAAGAGTTCATCAAGTCAATAACTGACTGAACATTATTCAGGTTAGAGATGTTTTAAAGGTATTCACATTAATATAATCTTCTATTAGAACTCATTCAATAAGATCCATGGCTCAGCTGTGCTTTTATACCAACAAAAACATTGCTGTACAATACTGATGACATTAAAGATGTGATTTAATCAGCATTACGATCCAAACCTTGTCTAAATTCATTAAAACAAAACTGACAACAAGAGTTTTTCTAAATTAATTATTTTTATCTACCAGCCCATTAATAAATGATCTAAATTACATTTCATAACACACAACTTGCATTTGGTTTGCCTCCAAAAAATGTGACTCGTACTTCCCTGCCAGGAACCGAGACTCTTACTGACTGCAATGACACGAAGCTTTGTGATGATGTTTGCTTCCATCAAATTATGTAAGTGGTGTACAAACGCAGGATAAAAGTAGCTTTTTCTGAATTTACAAGACTTAAAACCGAACATCGTTCTTGATTACCAAGATTCAAAGCTCATGATTATCAAGCAGCTGCAGCCAAAAGAACGCCAAATGATTTTTCAGTGATAGAACAGTTTTGTGGAATTGTTTTATTCCATTTGGACAGCTCAAGCATTAAAGCCCCAAAGGCAAACTTGGAAAACAAATTAGCTTAAAACATTTTTTCATGTCTTTTAACAATGTTCGAAAATCATATAAAATATAGATTAGGAGATTTTAAAAAATGTAGTAAGTGGTTTTCTCGCATTTGTCTAAAAACATCCGCCAGTTGGACCTTCAGGTTGTCGGTCTCACAAAACCACAGCACTTCTGCACTTCCCTGCGTCCTCCACTTATTACACACTCGCATATTTAGCAAGAAAATACCACAAGTGTGAGAGTTTTATGGCTCAATAATATCAGAGATAGAAACAGCCGGCTACTACCACTTCAGCTTTAGGACAAACTACCAGAGTCCCAAAAAGAAAAACACTATTTGATGCACAGACAACAAAATACATTTGGACCTAGAAAATGACGACTGGTGTTTAGCACTATCTTGTTTCCTCATGGGACTTTGGTTCTGGCAGAAGAGTCTCAGGGAAGATACCCGACGGAAGGGGAGAGTGTTCTGTGACCGTGTTTGGGTTCAAACCCTAGCTTGATCTGTAAAATAACTAAAGCAGCTTTAAACCACATCTAAGTTATTTCTGTGAATATATTTCTTTGTCATCCCATACATCAGGATGTTTTTTAGTGCATCTTCTGACAGATTAGGCAACCTGTTGCTTTGATTTTCCTCAGAAACGAGAAACAGTTGGTTCTTATTACTATATTTATTATTTTGAGTTGTGAGATTTTTTTTATTATTTTTACAAATAATAGTGTGCTGTTGTCGCCTGAAGAATTTTAATAAGGATTTTTATGAAACTTCAAAGGGCCTGAGATGAACATACATCTGTCCTATGATAAAACCATTGGGTAAGCACTTTAAACATGAATAATTGAAAGAAAATTAAACTGTCTTTTCTCAATTCTTGTCACAAAAAATGATTATTCATTAAGCTGATTAATAATTAGATTATTGAAAGAACACTTAAAATGTCTACAGATTCACCTTTAATAACAAAAAGATAAACAAAGATAAAAAAAAATTAGAAGTGGGTAAATTATTTAAACCTATTTCTGTCCCGCTGCCTTTGTTTATGACTGTTACAGAATATTATATCTGCTCACTTCTTTGGTGGTTAAAAAAATTAAATGAAAGCAAAATATTTGAAGTGTCAAAAAGTGTTAAAAAAAACAATCAATCATGATATAGTGGGTAGTGCATTGAGAAAAATTAACAAAATACCAAAGGAGATGTGAGAAACATCTTCCCTTTATCTTTTTTTAAGTATCACTCCTCTGTTCTTCTATCCCAGACATTTTTTCTCCCCTGAGGGGGCAAATGTATAAGAACCTTTTAAAGAGCCCAGCTGAGCCTTTAAAGCAGTTTGTCACACAAGCAGAGGAGCGCTTTGAAAAGCTGTGCAAAATATCCACAAAATGGAGCAATTTTTTCCCCGTGACATGGCCCTATTTCCCATGTCACCACACTCTCCTTCTGTGATTTCATAGAAAAAGTCAAAATATTGGAGCCCCTATTGTTGACTGTGTCAAACCCAGCTTTGGCATTACTCTACTGCAATCACGCTCCCACAGGTGGATTACACACATGTAGCCATTAAACACACACCAACGCTAAAAGTTAGCCGTGCTCATCTGAGCAAACCCTACCGTGTCACGTTACCTTTTTGTGAAGAGCTAAAATGTCTGGATCGCTACACTTCCTTATGCTCTGACCAATCTAAAGCGTCCCCCACCACACCTTTGGTTAGTTTTGTTTTTGTTAACTGATATTACGTCAGGAGGAGCTTAAATCTAGAGCAAAGGATAATGGTTGAAATGAACGTGTGATTGTGTTTTGTTTGTGTATCTTTGCCCGTGTCATGACGAGTAGATTTCTTGTTTGGTGAGGCTGAAACCGAAGCTGCCTAGGCCTGTTGTTGATGGCTGCGTCTCACCCACTCACTACTCCAGAGGGAGTCAGGACCAAGACCATTGCTCAGGGTCTGTCTGTTCACACACATGAAACACAGGCTTGGATTACACAGGGCTCAAAAAAATGACTCATCCCAAAGAGTGGGTGGAGAACGGCCCTCTCTGTTTTTTTCTTCTTCTTTTTTTTTTTTTGCACAAATACGTGCACACACACACAAAGAGAAACACACAGCCAGCAATGATAGCTACATCACAGGCTCAGACAGAAGACCTTTTGGTTCCACACACCTGCCAAAGACAGATGTTAAGAATAAATCAGAGACGCTCACAGTGAAAAAGAAACTGCACACGGCCGTAACTCTACTAACTCACTACACAGTAAACTAACTGGAGAGCAAACAGCTGCACGCGACAACACACACTGATGATGAAAGTAACAATAGCATACAAGCACCTGACGTGCATACAGAAAGAGAGCCTACATCAGGGGAAAAGAGGGAGTGTTTTCTCTGTTTGTGTCTCACAGGCTCCACTTGTGTTTTGTGTTGGAGTTTTTTTTTTCACACTGCTGTGCTGATGTGTAACCATCCTTTGGAGCTGAGGGTGTTTAAGTGCGATTGTTTTTGGAAGAAGCCAAAATCCTCCAACGACAGACAAACAAGTCACAACAGGGCTGAAAGCTGTGTGGGTGGTTTGGGAGGAAGCTTTTTTTCCTCTGCTGCTGACTAGGTGAATTTCTTTTTTTCATTTAAATATAGCACCACTGGGTTATTAGGAATCAACACACTCACAAAGCCTCCCCTTAAAGTTGATGTGCTGCGCGCCAGTGCGCGGTGATGTGTTCAGGTACCTATTTTCAGAATCTGCGACCTCTTGAAAGCATTATTTAAGCACAGGTACTACACCAACCTACATCCTGTCAGTCAGTGTGGCACAGTTCCTGGATCAAGAAACCACGTCTATAACAGAAAAGAAAACTCACACAGGAGCACATTTTTTTGTCTGCGCTGGAAGCCGTGTATGAGCATCGTGTGTCACTTGTGTTTGTATTTTAACTTGTTGTCATGCAGCAGGCTGGGAGAGGCAAAGTGGTCTGGTGTGTATGGGTTTGTTGTGTGTCATAAACAGACACTCGTCACGCTTTGTGGCCCAGAAGCAGGATAAAAGAGTGAGTTAACCAGCAGTGCACTGACATTATCTCTTCCTTGCTGTCCCGGAATGCCATCCTGCTGTGAAACTCCAAATATGTGGTGTCCTGTCACACCACATAACCCTCCTGTGTGTATATATGAGAGTGCGTGTGTGCTTTAAAAGTAGCGAGCGTGGGCGATTTGTTTTAGCTTTCTGCATGAGAGGTACAAGGCCATGTGTGAACGTCTGTATCTAAATACTTGATCTTAAAATACAAACAGACCATGAAGCTAACGAGTGTTATGAAATCATGTTAGTGAAGTTACTGGAATCCAAAGCACACAACAAATATGAGAAATCCGCAAGAGAAACAAGGCAAAGTGTATCAACAGATTTGTTTTCCTTTAATCTTTAATCCTAAATAAATCAGCTCCTTTCCATGTTTACAATTATTAGGCAAAATGAAGCCCAACTCCAGCCCTTGTGATGCCAAAGAGTCTAACATCCATGACTCAAGAGGTCAGGCTGCCCATCCAGGCTGAGCATTAGAGGTTAAGGGGATGAAGCCAAGTGTGAAATGTGAGAAGACAAGCCAGCATGGTTTCTCAGGCAACAAATAGGAAGGCGACAAACATATCTGTTTGACTGCAAGGAACGCGAGGTATGTGAGGAAGAAAGAGTGTCACGTCATCCGCTTTTTGTGTTAAAGCAAGACGGAAAAAAATAAGAGTTAGACTGGCTTTCTGAACTGGCTGAGTTCAGACATGTTAATCAGTAATAGCTTGTTGCACATCAGATGGGAGGAGAGTGAGCGCGCGTGTGTGTGTGTGTGTGTGTGTGTGTGTGTGTGTGTGTGTGTGTGTGTGTGTGTGTGTGTGTGTGTGTGTGTGTGTGTGTGTGTGTGTGTGTTTCTGGCAAGTCCAACAGCTCTTGGATTTGAGCTGGTTGAAGCAACAGAAAGCTCCAGACCAAGAGATAATCCATCTGGACTTTTTCCTTACAAAACATATGGAAAAAGGCACAAGCGTTTTTTCCCCCCCTTTTCCGCCCACAATAGCTATTAATATCTTCTACAGAACATTTGCTCATGCCCCACTAAGGACTGGAATTCCAGCTGAAATGCAGTCATCTTAGAAGATCACAAAAGGCTGGCCAGGAGTTTTACACACTCAGCCCTGAGTACTATCTGTGTGCAGGCCTGAGTCTCATAAACACAGCAACTAATGGGAAGAACTCAACATAATATTCACACACAGATTTAAGGAAACCAAAGCAATGTCAGCTAAACCCTCAAACACACAAAACAACCTGTTCCGCCTAAGTAATTTAAACAAAGGGAAAGAGTCGTTGCCATGCTGAAAATAATTCTCTCAACTATCAACGAGGACCTAAAAAAAAATCACACAACTACCTGACAGCAATTGTCCACGGCAGTGCCAAAACCTCCGTTAAAATGACAGCTCTGTAAATTGTTTTAATTATATACAACACAGATAACAGCCTGTGGAAAACATCAACCTTTTCTTCAAGTCCTCCACAAGAATCAGACATACAGTATTCCCTGAAAATCGCAGTGGTTGTGTGTGTGTGTGTGTGTGTGTGTGTGTGTGTGTGTGTGTGTGTGTGTGTATGTGTGTGTGTGTGTGTGTGTGTGTGTGTGTGTGTGTGTGTGTGTGTGTGTGTGTGTGTGTGTGTGTGTGTGTGTGTGTGTGTGTGTGAATACAATATTCATTTTGCTGCAGGAGGACAATCTATGCATAACAATGAGAGGTGCTAATGAAATCAGCCATCAACCTGCGATACATACATATTAAAGCAGGACCTCAGAGTGTCATTCGCTTAGTGCATCATTTGTTCCCACTCCGGTTTTTTTTCTTTGCCACCTGACCTTTAGAGTGTGTAACCCCCCTTACTGCTCCACACTAAAAATAGGAAGTGTACCTTTAGTAATGTGCCATTGTCCATACATGTGTCCATGCAGCATTAGACAGACATGGCGTTACATTTCAGCAACACACACACACACACACACACACACACACACACACACACACACATAGCACCAAGAAGATGTTTATTTGAGATTGATACATTGATAATTGATGTTTTAATCTTGAAACCTGAGCGATCTGCCAGATGCTGTTTTTGCAGATGATGTCAGCATTACAAATGTTAACCGCTGTCAGTGCCGTACCTTCAGTATAATGTCACATCATCCTAACTGCCAGGGAATCATGCTCCTCCCTTCTCTCTAAGCACACTTCACAGATTTGGTCTTTCAGTCTCTTCCGCTCTCCTCTCTAACCCCCCCACCCCTATGCTATCAGGGAAATGGATCCCTCCACCTGACAGTGGCCATTTTAGAGCCTTCTCTCGTCTCTTCTGCTCACTACTCCTGCTTCCTGGTAAACAATGGGAGAGGGATAATTGATCAAACAGCCAGGGAACCCTCTGAGCCGGGGAAGGTCACTACTCGCCTGCCTGGCTCACTAAGGAGTGTAGGGGGGTGCCAGCATGTGTGTGCATATTTGCTTATCTGAATATATACATGCATATGTATATATGTATATATGTTTGGTGTGTGTGTGTGTGTGTGTGTGTGTGTGTGTGTGTGTGTGTGTGTGTGTGTGTGTGTGTGTGTGTGTGTGTGTGTGTGTGTGTGTGTAGATGCAATTGAGGCAAATATAACTGCTAGTGAATAAGTCTAACTGTGCAAAATAAGCCATAAGGACATAGATATGTATGCTGCAGGCTTGTTTCTGTTTTAAACATATACATACATATATATGGTGGTGGTGGTGGTGGTGGTGTGTGTGTGTGTGTGTGTGTGTGTGTGTGTGTGTGTGTGCATGCGTGCGTGCGTGCGTGTGTGTCTTTGACGCTCTTGAGCTGCCATTTTTCTTCCCTGACAAAGACTCCATCTGCCACAGAGCCATTTGCTGCCTCCCGAGTCGGCAGAGCGTTCTGCACGCCGCGTTCACCTTGATGTCACCTCTACACAGCTCACGCCTTGCTGACGCTACACACACAAGCACAGACAAACTTAGTCTCACAGCGGCACACATTACACTGCTCTTATGTGCACACACGGATGTATATGCCCTCTCTCTTTCTTCACTCAGCAACAAAAACACTCTCTTTTTCATCACACATACTGTCTTTGCACACACACACACACACAAACAAACATATATTGAGTGTGTCTAGGCAGCGGCCCTCCCTTCCCTCTACATGGCTGATATCACTGTGCAGCCATCAGCGCTGTGCATTGTGGGAGTGTCTGTTGGGGCAGGGAGACGCGACAGGGGCTGAGGGATTCACACGCCTCTGAAAGACAGCCAGAGGGAGAAAGGAGCAGGAGCAGGAGAGGGGGTGGAGGGAGGCAGCAGAAAGAGGGAGCGATACGGAGGGGGCCGGTAACTGGAAATGAGAGATGGCATTTTAAAGAGGAAGCTGAATTTCACCTGCAATTACCGTAGCTCCGGGGCACACGGCTCGGTTAAGAGACATTTCATTCCAAAGCCACCGCGTATAGCTGCTGCACTGAGCCCTGAGAGGTGCATAAAAAAGGAGGGAGTGAAAATAGAGAGGTGGGATACTCTCCTCTGCCCAAGATGGCCCTCAGCAGATGCAGTGATGAAAGAGAGAAGGCAGCCAGGGATGCAAGTGGTAAACGAAACTTTGGAGGAAAAAGGTGGGGTAAAGGCACGGAAAAGAAAGGAAAGACAAAATAGGAAAAAAAAACGGTATCTCATTCACTGGGCTCCAACTCAACCATCTGCACAACAGACCAGACAGCTGAACTGGGCCTCAGAGAGCACACACGCACACAAACACACACTGAACAAAGAGCAAATCAGATCCAATAACCACAGATACACACTCTCGCAGTAAAGTACAGTGAAAGCTGGATATGTTTAATGATTAATATCATTCTTAGTACTCATTCTCGGGTTTTAGTGAACTCTCTTTCTCTTTAGTCCTTTCCCCTCTCTTCTCAAATCAAGCTGTAACAGTTTCCCCGAGGCTCGGTGTCCTGGCTAGTTTCACCAGACACACTGCTGTGTTTCATAGGAGGAGTGTGACTGCACAGAAACAGTAATGAGCTCTCGCTGGGAGCTGGGGGCCTCCTGGCACTGCTAATGGCTCCTCTGGACTGCAGCTGTATCCAGGTTACAACCTGGCCTGTCCGACAGGCCATGGGACGCACGGGCCCTGTAGGAACAAACTACTTCAAGCCACAGGCAACTCTTTATAGGCAAAAGCCACGTCTGTAGCTGTGGAAGATTTGTTTGGCATACGAGTGTTTGAAGTAATGGAGGAGGAAATAAGATCTGCAGAAGGAGACTGGTGGGCAGGAAGCTGTAGAGGATGTCAAGAGACAGGGCTCATGGCAGGGAGCAAGACCAGGGAATAAAGACAGTTGAAGAGATGCGGTTTGGCCATAAATACAGCAGATAGACCCAATAAACCTAGAGGCTTTCATGGGCAACAGCTGGTGTCGTGTGTGTGTGTGTGTGTGTGTGTGTGTGTGTGTGTGTGTGTGTGTGTGTGTGTGTGTGTGTGTGTGTGTGTGAGAGAGAGAGAGAGAGAGAGAGAGAGAGAGAGAGAGAGAGAGAGAGAGAGAGAGAGAGAGAGAGAGAGAGAGTAGCAGACAAAGAAAATGCATGTGTGTGGTCTTACTAATAATCTAACTAAGAGTTTCTCCTGGATATCTGCACAGGCAATAATAACACCTAGCTGAATCTCTACTGATAATAATCATTTCTTATTACTGCTATATTATGAGATGTAAAAAATAAAAGAAATATCACAGCAGAAAAACTTTCATTGCAACTTTAAAAGATCTTTGCTAACTTAAGAGAAAATAAACATGAAAACTCTTGAAGATATAACCCCCTTTAGACAACAATAACAAGCTGCCACATGGTGAAAAGTTCTTCATTTAGCAACAAAGCATTATTTTCTTAAAGTTTGACTCCAAAGTGATGGCTCAGTAGGACTGGTTCGTCACTTGTTTTCAAACCCGAGAGTGAAACAGTGATCAGGGCTGAGTCCAAGGAGCTCAGATTGCAACCGCATCTGTGTGCGGCTAAAAGCTTTGTGAAGCGTCGGGTTTGAAGGTCTCTTCCTAATGTTTCATAAATTACTGGTATACAATTATGTTGCAATACAATGCTCAAAACTCAAGCAGTGTATATCCAACACCTCACCTATTAAACAGCAAACACATAAAACACACACGCAGACCACTTCTGCCACTGCCGTCTATGAGAAAGCTCACAGCTTGGGTTCTTTAGCTCCTGTTTTGTCTGGCCTCCATTCAAAATGGCCCCCTCATGACCACGCACATTATGGTCTGGGCAAGCAGCCCCTGAGTGGACTGAGGCTCCCTGGGTGCGAGCAGTGATTCGTGGCACAAGGGTCTGTAAAGGAGCAGCCTCGCCCCACGCTGCAGCCCTTCATGAGGACAAGGGGAGAGGAGGCTGTTTGGCAGTGGGGGTGAATCACACGTCTGGCCACAGAACTAAACCCTGTTGAGATGGTGCAGGCAGAAGGAGGCAGGAAGTGTGTGTGTGTGTGTGTGTGTGTGTGTGTGTGTGTGTGTGTGTGTGTGTGTGTGTGTGTGTGTGTGTGTGTGTGTGTGTGTGTGTGTGTGTGTGTGTGTGTGTGTGCGTGCGTGCGTGTGTGTGTGCTGAATCCACTCTGCTCCATATCCCGAGGACAATTTCGCAGTAGCTTTTTAACAATCTTAGCTCCAAGGCAAGTACAAAGTACTAAATGTTTAGGTGTTATCTCTAACACTTCCCCAATCTAACTGAGCACCGGTTTAAAGGGCGTAGGGAAAAGACACTGTGAGAAACAAAGAGGTCTCATGAATAAGAGTTGAAAAATGATAGTGGTTGTAGGGACTGATGAAACATTATTCAGGTTTTGTGACAGGCAGTAAGACACAAATTCTTTCCCCTCAGGCTAGGAGGTGTAATTTCCCTTCCACTGTCACAAGAACCATGTAAAAAATTATCTATAGCTCAATGATTGACTGCTTGCAAGTAATTCCAAGCAGCAACTTGTACATCCACCTATCTATCTATCTATCTATCTATCTATCTATCTATCTATCTATCTTCTATCTATCTATCTATCTATCTATCTATCTATCTATCTATCTATGTATCTATCTATCGTATCTATCTATCTATCGTATCTATCTATCGTATCTATCTATCTATCTATCTATCTATCTATCTATCTATCTATCTATCTATCTATCTATCTATCTATCTATGTATCTATCTATCGTATCTATCTATCTATCGTATCTATCTATCGTATCTATCTATCTATCTATCTATCTATCTATCATCTATCTATCTATCTATCTATCTATCTATCTATCTATCTATCTATGTATCTATCTATCGTATCTATCTATCGTATCTATCTATCTATCGTATCTATCTATCTATCTATCTATCTATCTATCTATCTATCTATCTATCTATCATCTATCTATCTATCTATCATCTATCTATCTATCATCTATCTATCTATCTAGACTCAGAATAGAAACATAGGCATGCTGCTTCGTTGTAATACAAGGTAGGATGCGGATGGAAATGCTGGCCCCACAGGAGTTACTAACTTACACACAAACACACACACATACACACACACACACACACACACACACACACACACACACACACACACACAAAACAGACTGCTGTGGGGCTGACGCAAGACTATCTCTGTCTCACGTGTCTCTCCCCTACGGCCGCCCGCTGCTCCTGACCTTCGAGATGTTTTTCTCTCTCCTTCTCTCTCTGCTTTTATTCCTCTCTACTTCACACTCACACCCTCATTCACTTAGACACAGACACACACTCCTCCTCCTTTTCCAGCACACCTCCCAGCCGCTCAGTGTTTTGTCATTAAAAAGCATTGCATTTCCAGCCTGGATCAAGCGGCAGATGGGGGCTGCGTAAGCATTGCTGTTCCATCACGCAGCACCGCAGTTTAAGTACAGATGTCTTACAGCAGCGTTTTGTCTTTAAATGCACACACAGGCAGGCGGACACATGTACGCGCTGCAACCTTTTACTGCAACTGGAGAATCATCCCGGCTGTGGATGGCTGCTCCATACGGGTACTGTATTGCTTGGTTGTGTAATGCCTTTTTGAGGAAGCTCAATACCTTTAAGATGTGCTCCACAAAGCCAGAACGCCAAACAGCAACACAAAGAAAGGACGCCATCTCTGAGGAAAGACAGCATCACTCTTATCCAAACATATTTAGTAGTTGATGGCCTTTGGGTTACTAAACACTGGCGTAGCTGCTCACATAAAGTTCAATGAGTTCACAACACACACACACACACACACACACACACACACACACACACACACGTACACACACACATGTATGAATACATTAGAATTCTGTGCCATTAGACACATTTCTATCTTTTTTATATTTTCTCTCACTCTGAACATTTGCATATTCCTTTGGGTGTTTCGAGTTGAGCAGCTCTTTCGTTTTTTTTCCTCCTCTTGTCTTCCAAGCAACAAATGTCAGCTAATTACACCATAGCTGTTTGGATGAGCTCCATTTTCCCCTGTGCTCTGCTGTGCTTGTTCTCTATGGGGCTGCAGGAAGAGTCAGGCAGCAAAGACAGCAGTTAGGCACAGCCAGCTGTGGGGGTTGAGCTGCAAGGATACCCCCCCTCAGCCCCCCACCTCTACACATACACACACACACACACACAAACCACCCCTTCAAAATTGATTCCCCCAGAGAGGACTCATCAATACTTATCACAAATGATACAACCAGGCCGCACCAACCTGCGAGGGGATGTAATGTATCATTCATTGCAAGAGATGAAGCAGTAACATTACACCTGATAGAATCAGGTCTGGAAGCACGCAGGATTATTTAAAAAAAAAAGACAGTCGCATGTGAAACAAGTATTTCCCAGAGCTCTGCATTCAGTGAAAACCTTCTTACAAAAGATCTCATTTGATCTGATGACACACTCATCGGCACAGGGCCTTCAAGTGAGGCGAGAAAGAAAGTGCAAGTCATCGTCTGTGTGTGGAACCAAAAACTGCCACCTTGGTGTGTGTGTGTGTGTGTGTGTGTGTGTGTGTGTGTGTGTGTGTGTGCGTGCGTGCGTGCGTGCGTGCGTGCGTGCGTGTGTGTGTGTGTGAACCGAAGCCTTGAGGATGCAGCCGCACCCCTGAGTACAGCTCACTCTCACAAACAGTGCGTGGGGAAAACGAAGAAGAGAAGAAAAGAAAGATTCAGAGAAAAGGAGTAAATTAAAGCTGCACCATAGCAATTCACATAAACAGCTCAGCACAATCCTCGAATCCTAACCCTGAAGCACTGTCAGACACAGTTAACAACCATTTACATTCAGCGCCGAGCTCGAACAGATAGCAAACTCAAACGGATGTTTATTAGGCGTGTACGTTTCATACAAATATTCTGATTAGAATGGGAGAAATCTAATTAATTGCCTGATTCACTGAATGAACCCCGAATTTGTAATGTAATCATAACAACTGCTTTTCAAGGGGCTCTTGTTAAATTTAATTGGGGGAAGAGAGAAAAAAATCCTCTTTCACTGAATGAATGAAAATCAAATTAGGCCTAAAACTGGAGGAGTCTGCAAGTTTTTTTCTTCCTTCTGACACACCATGGGAAAAAAAGCAGAAGTGTGAGACAATATGCATTTCAAAAAGTCACGCATCAAGTGTTTTGTAACACACAGACATACATGCAGAGAGGGGAAAGGCGTGGATGAGATGAGTGTGTGTACTCACTGTTAGAGATGTCTTCAGCTTTTTGACATAACTGCTGTAACACCTGGGAAGAAAGCAGAAACAAACGCTCACTTTAGACCAGGTTAAATATACTACTTGAGTCACAGGGATGAGGCGTCTACAACGCGCTTTGTTTTCTATGATGATTTGGCTTCATGCTGCATTGCGATAACGCTGACTTGAAATACGGTGAAACATTTTAAGCTACCTGTATAAATCTTGCAGTTACACATCTTTGTATTTGCAGTTTTCGTACACATCAAACCAGAAATAAAGTGATGTTTGAGTCACAGCTGTGGCCGTGCACACACACTATTGCATGCACGGAAACATATTCACACCCACAAAAAGACTCTTTCTCCCTGAACGCTTTCCTGCAAAACCTGTTTGCTAGAAATGGATCTAGACATTGGAGCTTTGAGTGCGAGGATATTTTCCCTAAACACAAGACAGTTCTTGCAGAGAACCAAGCCTCACCAGCGTTCTCACGCCCATCTCTCATGCATTGTCTCTAGGGCCCTCCTGTGCACTTTCTGAGCCTAATCTAAGCAGCTCACCATAACAGACACCACCCAGCTTTGTATATACAGCAAGCAAACACACACACAAGATTTTACAACTTTTATTTACGCTGCTAAAACCTCTTCTTCCACAAACTCGAAAGAGTTTTTTTCTGGCTTTTCC